TCTGTGTCACGCTTGACTCACGTCAAGCCACACTTCTCGGTCACGTGACCGATGACGCTCAAAAACAAAGTGCTGAAGCCCGCAAAATTAGTAAAAAAGCTGCTTGGAGATCGCAAATGACGGCGGCCTTAAAAGTACGTTCGAAACAACTGGATCAAAGTTATGGCTGAATACTCTGAGATCGCCACAATAGCACTGTTGCTATTTCCGACATCCTACCTGTGTGAGGTGTGGAGTTTCTGCAGCAACGGCGACTAAAACAAAATTACGAAGTAGACTCGACATAAACCACACACTTGAGGTGTCATTACCCCGAGATGGGACTGTCTGATTGAGGAAAATCAAGCTCGGGGCTGTGGTGAGTCGTCATTTTCATGCACTTTGAATTTGCGTTGTATCGTATTTTGAAGGCATTAAACATTTTACCAGAGCGATAAGAGTGTTGCGACCCGATTAGACGCTCCTTGTGTTTATTATTATATTTCGAAAACACCACAGTTTTCATGCAGCTCATACCATATTATTTTGTTGTATTAATCCGCCACACCTTAAATGCCGGTCCCTGAAAATATTGTCTGACTTAAACCGGTCCGTGGGGCAAAAAAGGTTGGGGACCCCTGCAATAGACGCTACAGCTTCCATTTTATGACTGAGAAGCTGAATTTTTAAGCATTTGGACAGTCTGTAATTAAAAGTGATATCCAGACAATTTATCGGGAAATAAATAATCGGCACTTTTTCATGTCTAATGAAGCTTGAAGCTACAATTCCGCTGTTATTGCTGGGGCCTCGAGAGTCACACGACAGTAGTTAGAAGTGAAAATACTGTACTGCATTTTAGTGTTTAAATTGATACATCCTTTGCATAAACACAATACCATATACACAAATTCTACTGACCTGTTTGAGTATGAATAAATTTGATAAAGCAGAAAGAAACCATAAAAGTTTTATCAACAACTCCATTTGCTGTGACTGAATGACAGCCATGTAAGTTGTGGCAATTATTACCTCCAGTTTTTGTCAACATACAGTAACTAAACATCCACTCGTAAACCCTCCATGTCTGTTGTCTGGTTTCATTGACATGTGTTAATCAAGAGGGCACACTATTACGTTCAATCAATGACATCCATTTTAAATAGTGGCATCAAGTGATCAAATGTGATTGATTTATAATAATAATAATAATAATAATAATAATAATAATAATAATAATAATAATAATAGCCATCTTCGGGCAGTAGGCTGGGTACACCCTGAACTGGTTGCCAGCCAATCGCAGGGCACTCATAGGTGAACAACCATCCGCGCTCACACTCACACCAAGGGACAATTTCGTGTGTTCCATTAAATTGCCACACATGTTCAGTTATTTCAGTTTTTTTCACGGCCCTCTGAATAGGTATCGTCACTCAGCATGGAAGGACTACTCGTTATGTACTCTTTGATTATTTATTGAAGCACACAGCAGGTAATAACCTAAAAGTAAGCATGAAGACAAAAAAAATAATGTCCCTGTATTCATGTATCACACTGTAAATGATGTGTATAATAATTCCTTCATCTTAACAAATTTTTATCAATCGTGATTTTATTACAATCATTGATTTTAGCATGATGTATTATTATTGTCATCACAATTTCCCCTCATACTTTATATGTAATCAAATCCAACATGTTTTTGGAATGTGAGAGGAAACCGGAATACCTGGAGAAAACCCACACAGGCATGGGGAGAACATGCAAACTCCATACAGGAAGGCTGGAGCCAGAATCAAGCCCTGCACCTCTGCATTTTGACCAATGCACATAGCGGGTGGAAATATAGCAAAGAAGAAAACAGTCCAATCTTAAAAATGGACAAACTTATGTGCTGAATGATGCAATTTACAAATCGATTAAGTATCAGCTTGATCAAATTTGTCTCAAAATATATATTTTTTCCTCACATAACGATGATTAGTAACAAGCACTAACCACGTGCTAAAGCTAACAAAATGTGCATGAAGACAGGCCATTGGCTTGCAAGGTAAAGCAAAAAGCCTGTAAGTGCAAAGTGATATATTTGAAATAAAACAATTTTATAAAATAAATATTGGATATACACGTTATAAACTGAACCTGTGATTCTTCGCTTGAACTGAAAGAAGCCCGGTCCATGGCACCAATGTGTGGAAGATTCGCGGCTTAGCTCTTTCCAGCTGTGACCTACCTGTAACCTATACGACTTCATCGCAATTTGCATGTTGTGATTCATGACCACAAGTGGAAAGCCACAGAAGTGATTCATGTACAGCTTGCAATTTGTGTCTAATGAAACTTTGTAGCCATAGAAGTTAGTTGTCTTGAGAAGAATTTAAACTCACAGGTTTTAGTTTTGTACTCGCAAGAAAAAACATTCAAACCCACACAATTTTTAGTTGTATTTTCAAGAAAAAAAAAAGACAATTTTAATTCGTAGTCACAAGAAAAACATTCAAACCCACACAAATTTGATTCATAGTCACAAGAAAAAAATGAAAACCGACAATTTTGATTTGTACACACAGGGAAATGATTTAAAAGGACAAATGACCATTATGGAAATTAATCGTTAATTATACGTCTTTTTGACAGTTATCTTCGAATCGAGGCAGACTGCTGAACATAAACACAGACACCTGCAAAACATTTTGGAGTGATCACGTGATCATTTAATGAAATGCAAATCGTTATTCCATTTGTTGATACCCACATTTTTTTTTAACGCTTTGCAGCAAAATCATTTGCTTTATGTGTTATAACTCAAGAGAAACTAATCTAATAGATTGTTTATGTGCTGTTGTTTTAGTTTGAAAC